GTTAAAATTGATGTTACCATTCTCTTTCTTGCTGTTTAATGATCTTTCATTGAATTTATGTGTTTCTCTTGAGGGTATACCATTCTTTCAGTCATCCCAGTTTGCAACTTTCTTTTGACTTACTGTTGTGTCTTCCATATTCATTCAGTTGACTTTGCCACCATCCATATTGCCTTTCGTACATTCCCTTTTCTCCATTTATAGTCACCACCATAATTCATGTCCTTATTATGTCTCATCTAGATTATTACAATTGTTTTTCTTCAGTCATTTTCAGTCCTGACCCCATTTGGGGTTTTCTTTGCAAAGATACTAGAATGGTTTGCCATTTCCTTGTCTAGCTCATTTTACAGAATAGGAAACTGAGGCAGACAGGTGACTTGCCCTGGATTACACAATTGGTAAGTGTCTGAGGCCATATTTAAACTCAGGAAGGTGAATCTTCCTGACTTCAGGCCTGGCACACTATCTACTATGCCACCTACCTGCCCTTGATTATTACAATAGTCACTTAATTTTCCATTTTTTCCACCATTTCCATTTTTTTCCTCTGTAATCCCTCTTCCATGTATTTGCCAATTTAATATTTCTAGAAGACCTGACATATATTACCCTACACAGAAATCCTTGGTGGTTCCCAATTGTCTCTAAGATAAAATAAAACGACTAGTCTAGCATCCATCCAGTCTAGCACTCAAAACCAATCATAATCTGGCTCCCGTCTACATTTTTAGCTTTATAAATATTACTACCTTTCATGCGCTCTGTGTTCAAGCCAACTAGCTTTTACCATAACTCGGTATTCCATTCCTATCTCTGTTTCTTTGCACAAGCAGTCCTATTCTTGGAACGCACTGTCTCCTCATCTTTACCAGTTAGCATCCATAGCTTCCTTTAAGATTGAGCTCCAGTACCACTTCCAAAAGAAATGTTTCCTGATTTCTTCCAGTTAGTTTTTTTTCACCCTTTTGAAGTTATATTTTTTTTTATTTTTCTGTTGTCTAACTATATCATTCTTCTACTTGGTAAACTCCAGCAGCTCTCTCTTGCTTAAAGGACCAAATAAAAACTCCTGTATTTGACATATAAAACCCTTCACAACCTGGCCCCAACCTGTCTTTCCAGTATCATTTTGTACTACCCTCCTTTCCACATTCTATAGCCTAGCCAATCTGACCTTCTCCATGTTCCTCACTTACTACAGCATTCTTTCTCCTATCTCCTATGCCATTGTCTTGGGCTGTCTGCTATAGCTGAAATCAACTTCCTCCTCTTACTACCTCTTAGAATCCTTCAAAATTGAGTTCATATACCAACTATAGGAAACCTTTCATGATTCCCCAGCTCCTGATGCCCTCATTGCCAAAATTATTTTTTTACTCATTTTGTACATATTCTGTATATACTGCATGTTTTCTCCCCCAACAGAATATAAGCCCCTTGAGGTCACGGACAGCTTTGTTATTGTCTTTGTTCACAATACAGTGACTTCTTCTTAATAGGTGCTTAACAGGTCTTGTTTTCAAATGGAATGCAGTATACCAAGTTAGAGGTCACTGGATACAGACATAGCGTAAATATTTTGTGAAAATTGGATTACAGTAATTTAAGAGACTTAAGTTAAGCATTTGAGGGTGCTTAAGTCAAAAAGTCTGAGCTTCATTTATCCTTATCAACTAAGATATTTTAGTTTGAGTGACCTCTACAAGCATATAAGGAAATCTGTTGCTTTAAAATCAAAGCATCTCAGAGTTGGGAGGAACCCATACTTGAAACAGGCATCTCCTGGGCTACATTCCCACAAGTTGAGAAGATAGTTCACTGCTGCTTTCATATCTCCAGTCTTATAAGGGAATCTGTCACCACCTGGGGCAGGTCATTACAATTTATCCTCTCTAATTGTCAGAAATCCTTTATGGTGAGTCGAGACATTGCTCTTTGCAGATTCCACTCATCAGTCCTAAAAGCAGAACATACATGATGTCAGATCCTTGGAGAGAGCTGTCATGTCCTTTTTGAGCTATCTGTTCTCTAGACTAAACATTCTCGATTTCTTCAGTTGATCCTTATGTAACATAATCTTAAATCTTTTCATTATGCTACAATTCTTTTTCTGGACATAAAATTGATCCATGCTTTTATAAAATGTGATACCCCGAACTGAACACAAAACCCAAGATGTGATCTGAACAAGGCAAAACACCAGGGACTTTCTTCATTTTGAACGTTATACTTCTCTAAACATAACCCAAGATCATATTTATAATAGCCTTCATGTTTCGCTGCTCATTCATATTAGATGCCAAAATTCCATTTTCACAGAAATTTTTATCTAGTCCCCCCCCACCTTCGTCTTGTGCTGTATAGATTAATTGATCTTTATCTATGTGTGTACTGATTCGGTCATTTTTAATTTCAGAGAAGAGAGAATGTTATAGAGAGGCTGCTTCCAAATCAGCTTCAGGTGACTTGGATTCTAGCAACCATGAAGAAACTATTGATCAAGATAGAGACCCTGTCAGGATTTCAGTAAGCCAATGCCTGAGTTTGGAGGATAGATTACAAGATAGTAATCAGGCTAGTAGTCAGCAGCCTGTAAAGCCAGTTCATACAGGTAGTAATGATGGTATGTATCAGCCAGGTAAGTAAGACATGAATAAGTTGATTAATAGACTTGTTGTCCTTCAAGGCTCAGCTAAAGCCTTACCTTTACAACAAACACAGTCACAGTCTGTCCCTTCTCTAAGCAGTTATTTTTTAACTATGCTACTTAGCACTGGACTGTAACATGTTTCACATGTGCTAATCTTATTTACCAGATAAACTCACATTTTGGAAGGGAAGGATTATCATTTATCTTTATTATTGTATCTCCTAATGTCCTGACCACATGTTGAGTGTTTGGATTAGTGCATACATCTTAACAGATAAGGAAGAAATAGTGTCAATAAATAGCAGTAGAAACTCTGTGTAGAACACTTCATTTTTCAGAAGCTTGGTTTTCTCATCCATAAAATGAGACTGTTGGACTTGGTGATCTCTGAGATTGCTTCTAACCCATAATCTATAATTCTGTGAACTCTTAGTTTACCAAAATACTCTCATTTTACAGCTGTTTTAGATAATACAGGTTTGGCTATACTGTACCCTGATTCCCAAGCTACAGAGGAAAATACTGTGACATGTAACTACATTTTAAGACACCCTTTATGTTAAGTTCTGCCATGTATCCCTATTGCTACTGTTTCTTTGCCTTTTCATTATTTACAGTTTCTGCTTCTTTCCTTTTTCAAAAAACTTATTCCTTGTTGCTTTCCCTAATTCTTATTGCTTACTCCCTACCACTTTCCAAATACTATTTCAGTTCCGTTTCCCCTCCCTTCTGACATGAGTAGTCTATTTTTATTGCTTCCCAGAGAGTATTAGTAATTATAGATGACTAAATTGTTTGGTATTACATTTCTAGATTCCAAGGAGTACATAAGGCCTCTTATTCCCCCTGGTTTTCAGTTTGAGTCTTATTGTATTGCTGTATCACAATTCCTAACACATAGTATGCATTCAATAAATACTTATTGATTGGCATAGTAGACAGAGATTCAGCCTGGGAATCAGGAAGAATTGGTTCATGTCCTGCCTCAAATACATACTGGCTTTGTGAATGTAAGTCATTCAGTCATAACCAGTTAATAAGTAATTAAGTTGGACTTACTGGTCTTTTAGCTCTAAAATTCTGTGAACCTAAGAAAGGAGAGAAAAATAGCCCATGTGTATCTATGTCATTTAGAGACCTTCAGTGACTCTTATCTATAGGATAAAATGTAAACTTCTTAACCCTTTATTTAAGACTCTTCCTGATCTGGTTCAAGTCTTCCTTTCCAGCCTTACTGCATACTACCCTCCTTCATATATTCTGTGTTCCAAGAATACCGTACTGGGGGAAGAGGGGAAAGGTTCAAAGTGAGATGGTTGCTGAATGAGGCTATGACTCTTCATTGGCTTACATATGTGTGTTTAGAGTTAATCAGTTCAGAACATTGTTGAAAATGTTCTCTGATCCTGCATTCAGTCAGTCAATAAGGATTTATTATGCACCTCCTTACGTTCCAGACACTGCAAAACTCTGGGGATACAGAGAAAAGCAAAAGAGAGTCCCTGCTCTCAAGGAACTCAATCTAATGAGGAGACAACATAAAAATAACTGTACAGACAATATATATACAGAATAAATGGGAAATAATCAACCGAGGGAAGACATTAGCTTTAAGGGGGATCTGGAAAGACTTCTTATAGAAGGTGAAATTGGAGTACACTGCTGCCTGTTTTTTACCTTTTGGAATTTTTCTCTTCCTTCAAACCCAATTCATCTGCCACCTCCAGGAAATCTTTGCTGAAAATAGTATCTTTCTCCTTAAATTTTTTTGGAATATCTTATCTAGATCTCTTTTATCATTGTCATATTTCATGTAAGATCATTTATTTGCATGGATATTCTTTTCTCTTTTTAAATTGTAAATTCATTGTGGGTAAGTACTGTTATTTTTTATCTTGTGTTGCCAGAGAGGCAGCATGGCAATAATAGATAGACAATTAACCTTAAAGTGAGGAGACCTGGATTCATGCCCTGCCTTATATATAGTACACACCTTGTACAGTGTTTTACATATAGTGGAGACTTAATATTTTCTTAATTATGTTGAAATGGAATTAAGCTTCAACTTCAAATTCTACTTTTAATTTTCATATTCAGGCCAGGCCAGGGATGTTGTAACTGAGAATCATGGGTTACTCAGTTATGCTGCTGCTGATTTGATGCAGAAAGTACCTGTATATCCTGGTTCAGCTTTTGAGCCAAAAAAGGTTAGTAATAAGGAATATTACAGAGTAGCTTTTGAAGACATATACTTTTATTTGTGTGTGTGTGTGTTTTAATAATCTTGTCAAGTTTAAATTGCAAACCATGGATATGGTGTCCTCTGAGATCTACTCTCGTTGAGGTAGATCAGTGATGAAAAATAGCCAAATATGAGCATCACAAGACCTTCTGGTCTTTGTGGTGCGTGATTTGTTTGTTTCTGAGAAGCATTAGAAGTTAGAATAGTTGGTGAGAAAAGTTGTGGGGTGCAGTGTGTGAGTGAAAATGTAAGACTTGAGTGAGGTGGGTGGGTGGGAGTGTGTGTGTGTGTGTATGCGTATGTGTTTAAGGTTACTCAATTCTGTGCAGTGATGAAAACAGTTTTTCTGCTGACCTTTTAATCGTGAAGGTTTCTACACTTGAACTGAGCTCAGAATTGATATTACTAGTATCAGTGATTTCTTCATGACATGGACAGCTGTGTGATTTCTTGTTCTTTTGTTTGCCTTTTTTTTTTTTTTTTTTTTTAGATAGTGTCATCCGTACCATGGTCCACTAATGACCTTGTTTCCCAGTCTCATGCACAGGAGCTACAAGATGACCAACTATCTTCATTAACAGTGTCTACGGGGAGCTTCTTAAGTAATGACAAGACTCATTTAAACCTTGCACATTCAGGTAACGATGCATTAATGTGAGCCCAAATAAATGAAAATGCTAGTGTGGATAGCTGTTTCACTTTCCCCAAGACCATTTTATATGTTGCTACCTTATTACCTTCTTAAGACTCTGTCAGTTAAACGTCACCATTCTCAGTCTGGCCTTCAAGAATCTTTATTATAACTTTTCCATCTTATCTTAGTATTTCCTAACATAACCATTCCACTCCAGTTAGGCCAGTTCTCTCTCCATGCATATTCCTTTCTTTTGTTTATTCTGTTCCTCCCTTCTCCTTAATGACCTTACTCATCCTTGCCACCATGAATCCCTTATTTATGTTAGGGCCCAGTTCAAGTCACACTTCCTTGAGGCCTTCTCTAACCAAACCCAGACTCCACTGATCTTTCCATTTTCTAAATTCCTGTTGCACAATTTTGTATTTGATTGTATGCCACTAATTTTTTTGTTTGTTAGTTATTTCATGCAAATCTACCTTCCTGGTAAATTGTGTGCTTCTCAGAGGCTACTTCTTTTAGCTCTTCCATGTTTGTTGGCCATGTTTGTTATTAAAGCTTATTCTGCAGGAGTAACTGCAATCAACTCTGTATTTCAGCACTTTGTCAGTGAAGAAAGATCAGTAAAAATTGCTTTGAATAATAAATTCCCAATTCATCTGGATAGTAGAGATTCTTATTTTGGAAATTTATCCCTCTTACCCCAAAATTTTTCCAGATATCTGGCCATTTCACCTTGCAACTAAATCAGGGTTGCATCGAACTTCAGTTTTAATCAGATACTAATGAAGTTACATTTATTTTTAAAGCTAAATCTCAAAAGCAAATTATTGATTCATGCCTAGTACAGAGTTTCTGTACTATTAGTACTATAATATTAATACTTAATTAGTACTATAATATTAATATATAATTACATATTATAATATATTATATTTATAATATTATATAATTATTATAATGTTATAATATTATTCATAATATATTGTGTATTATAATATATTATATATTATATATGGCATATAATTATAATAATATTTAATTAGTGCTATAATATTAGTACCATTAGTACTATAATAAATGGGCTTTTACTATTTCCCAGTAAATATGGAATAACATCCTGTTATCTTTCTGATGATACTTTTCCTATACCTATCAGAAAGAGATTGTGAGTATAAAACATTTGATCAGTGTAATATATGGTGGATCTTAATGTCATGCCTCCTTTCAAAAGTTTGTAATAGAAGTTAAATGTAGGCATTAATGTGGCACAATATAAAATGCTTGGGTATTCTAATTAAGTTCAAAAATTTTCATAGTCATTTTCCAGTAGTACAAAACCAGGATGACAAGATTCTGTTGTTTGAGAAACGGAAAAAGTCTTGAGTTCTGCACTTGTTGCTTGTTCTTCATTTTTTGAAGAAGACCAGTGACATCACAGGGTGATGTCTTGACTTGCAAATGAATTGGATTTAAGTGAGGCAAAGCTGCACAAAGTTGTCAGCCTCACTCTCTTTTCCAAAGTCATCGGAATCTAGTGGCAAGATAAAAGTCAAGAAAATGGCTCAGGATGCATTGGCTGACCTTGATGTCTTGAGTGTCTGACTAAGCTCTAATTGCTCCACGGTGCCAGCTTCAACCACCTTTTATGGCTGTTAGAACAAATTGTTCTCATTTGCCCATTTCATCAGGGGAAGTAGTCTTCGCTTGCTCAGGGCAGACATCCCTCTAATTCACTGATGAGTTTGAAGCCTGTTGATTACCCTACCTGGGTTAGTTTGTCTGCTGAGCCAGTTTTACCAGGGTGTGGCATAGTACGGTTTCTTGGAGCCACGGGTGAGAGTTGGATGGCAGGTGGACACCAAAGGTGGATGAGCAGTCCTGAAAAGAGCTCAGCAGACCCTCACACCAGAGGTGCTAGTCCTCCTTAACACCCCATATACCCCAGTCTGCACTTACTCTACCAAGGTCAGGAGTCTTCTAAACATAAATTTCTGTTGCAGGTAGAAATGTTTAGATACAATAGAAATCATGCCTTTCAGCAGGTCATAGAGAAAAACGCAAGAGATTCAAAAAAAGACACCTGAGAGAAATATAAACTTTCAACATAGAAATATTTTTCTATTTCTAAATTAGTGCAATGTCTTTTCAGATGCTATACTTACATTTTTCACACTTTAGTGTTCCTCTGCTATCCCTAGATTCACTATGCTGATTTTTGGTGATAAGCCATTCAATTCCTTTCCTGAATTCTCAGACCTTTGCAAATTCACTCTCTTGCTTGACCATATAAAAGATGTAAAATCTAATAGCAAAAGCATCTAATTAAGACATAAAGCAATGCAAACAACAAGGAAGAGATTCAAGTAGTGGAACATCCTCTGTACTCATACGCTAGTTTCAGTTTCTCACACCTTCAGGGAATTATATAATTCCCCTTAAATTTCCACTGATTCCCAGTAGGTGAAAGACCCAGTCACTTCAGAAACTCATAAGACTATCAGTAAGCATTAGAGTATGATATCTGTCTCTTTAAAGTGTCTTGCCCAGAATTCTCAAAGGGCAGGCAGGAAAATATCTAAAAATTCTCACCATATAATTCTGGAGTTGAGGTTGTAGTCATCTCTGTTCTAATCCTATTGACTACTCTCATTTTGCACTCTCATTCCACTTCATTCATGTACCTCTCACAACCTCATTTTTCTTTTATTTTCATTTATATCCCTCTCTGATTTTTCTAGGTTCTCATTACTTCATCCTTTTCTCTTGTGGCTGTAATATATTTTCCCCTCTCAAGTTCTTGCTTCCTGGCTCATTGTAAGTTCTTACTATGCATGACTTATGAGAAGAAAGTCTCAAACTTTTTCTTCTAGACATCAGCTTTCCTGTTGTACGGTTGTCAGCATCTGAAAAGCATACATAAAAAATGGAAATTTTCTCTGGCCATATTATATGCATCTTGTACTTTAATGCTGTTTAAATCATTATTTAGAGCTTTCAATTTCAATGATATTTAGTTGTGCGGAGTGGTGAATTAAGAAATTTAGTGAAAAAGAGCGACCTGGGGCTGGATGGTATGTTACTGAGGGAAAAAAAGATAAATTCTGCTTTCCCTCTTCCTTTATACTTATTGTTCCCCTCTTCATTATTGTTAGCTTTATAATTGATTCTTAGGTGAGCTCTTTAAAAGCAAAGGTCATATGAAGGCTTCTCTATCTTTTGATCATCCTTAGGTTTGGGGCTTGTAGCATCGGGAGCTTCGTTGGTCTTTGGTCATTGAGTGTTTTTCCAGTCTTAAATAGCTCAGATAATGAAAGTCTGACCTTTTATCAAATCACTTTGTTGATAATACTAAAGGGGGGAGGAAGGGAACCAAAATTTTCTTTTTTACTTGAATTGTTCCAAAGTACAACAACATAATCTTGTCCACAGTATTTATTTAGAACTTATGTTCAGTAGTTCAAAATTACTGTTTTTCTTTTTCCCAAAATTCTAATAGTTGTTCCTGACTTCACAGAATTGGAACAAACTTTTCCGCATTTACATCATCAGCTCTTTCATACTCTGGAAACAAGGCCTGACTTGGATCTCTTATCATCTCTTTCTCAGTCTGGACTTTCTCAAGACTTCAGCAAGGTATTTGACATTATGTATTAATAGAATTTTTAAAAATAAGTTATTGTTATTGTGATGGAATTTGATCTATAAGAAGGCAGGCAAATAAGAATTGAGAAGAAAAATAAAGAAAATTTTAAGTCCTTTTTGAAAAAATGTAAACTCCCCAACTTACCTTAAGTTCCAAGAACAAAATGCAGAATTGTGGAAAAATTCGTGTAGTGATTTTTAAGTTGGAATTGTGTTTGAACATGGAAACTGTTATTCTTCTATTAACCTACGTTAAGGTAATATGGTATTTGTCAGTGTCATATTAATGTGAAAGCATCATAGCAATGACCACATTGGCTGTCATATGTCGTATTTTTGTTATTTTTTTTAAACTTATATGTGTGTTTCCATCAGACCACATACTCTTCAACCCCGGAAAGCCAAGATGCATCTGAGTCTCATGAAAGCACACCCTCCACCACAGCTGTGAGGGCCAGCCTTCATTCCTCTCTTGATGTAAACTTTCATTCTGCTATGAATAGAACTGGTGTCACCCTTAATTCCTCCAAAACTGAAGATTTTCCTAAGGAAAAAATTATTTTGGGTATGTATGACCTAGACAATTAAATAAGTTTCAACAAAAACCTAATTGGTAAGATTTCTTGGTTATTCTGAGACCCAATGAGATGTCATAAGCTTAGAAGGATCTCTTCAAAGAATTAGATTTTGGCCAGTTTGTTATTCTGTACACTTCTTTTCCACATTTTCTCTTCATTTTCTTTCTGATTATCCTTTCTTTACCATCCAGAAATTGTTCCCACAGATTCACAGTGAATATTTTTAAGTGCAGGTTTCCTTATGACACTTTATGATTTGGTTTGTGCTGATGTGTCTGTAATGAAAACACAAGAGTATTTAATTTTTATCTTTTCCAAAGAAATCTTAA